CAAATGGGAAAGTCGAAGTGCGCGTTATCTGTTTCGTACTTCTTATTTTATATTTAAATTTCAAATGACATGCGGGATTTGCTTTATATATTATTACGTCATTAACAAGTTAATACTAGTCTTCCGTGTTTATGCTTTGTAACTTATTAATATCTTCATCAGAAAGAGATACTTAAAGCTACCAGTTATTCCATATGAACGGCAACATAGGTAAATATTTTTTTTTTCTTTCTTTATAAAGGATTAACAATAGCAAGTATTATTTATTATCGCCTCAACTGCAAATCAACTGCACAGATAACAGTTCTAGTCTTTAAAAACCACTACTTAATTAGTCATTTTAATGCAGTACAAAACAGTCATATATATCACTAGTTTGAAAATGTTTTAGTAAGTATTACCTTATATATAGAATTAGTTCCGAGTATTTGCTAATGTTATCTAACACAGCTTTAAGAAGTGCTATATAATATCGTATTTTATAATTAATGTCTTTCTTTATTTCACTATAGCGAACGTACACCTAAATATTTCTAAATTTACCCCATCATTCTGATCTTTTTTTTAAGCCAAAAGGAGCATTACCCAGAAGTGCTATTTTTTGCGTTGAATTGCTTAAATGCGATGAATCACTTTTCGAATTGTTGCCACCAAATATCATCGCTCTGTATTACATTTGAAGAAACTAAATAATGAAGAATCTGCGTGAATGCATGTATGTTTCTGGCACTGTGAAAAACAAGATCATCTACAAGGCCATATAGAATTCCACTTCGTTATTCGCTAATTTTGGTTATTTGATTTTCCTAAAATTTAAAAAATGGGTTCCTTTGTACGTGGTTGCCTTTAATAGAATTCAAACTGCTTGGCGACATAATACCGTAGTTAGCAACATGTCTCTGACAGTTGGCAATTTACGTATCGATTTTAACATTATTTAGAGATTTTATTTCAATTACAATAAATCATTCTATAATTATTTTAGTCAGCCATCCTACTGATCCCAATAGGCAGTCGAGTTTCCTTGTTTTCGAATACAAATGTTCGATACTTCAGCAGCTCAGTAATATTACCCGAATACAAAATTAAGAGCGACCACAGTAAGCGCCGGTCACATATAATTGTGTTGTAAGTTAACACTGAGATCACATATATGTTTTCACGTTAGTCGGCTTTGCATTTTAGGTGTGAGTATTTGTATAGGAGGGTTTTATATGCTGTAAGTTCGATTTTTTTTTTATTTTGAAGTTTTTTAATTTATTTTCCTTTTTTTTTTGTATCTCTTTCTATCTTTATTTTATTTTTCAAAATTTTCTCATAATATGAGAGACATAAACGAAATTTTATCAGCGTCTTTTCGTCCTAAACGATTTAAGATATTGGTACGAAAGATCATCCGATAAAATTCCGATAAGCGTAATAAAGGTAAAGAGCTTACACTGATAAAAATAATAATGCAGAAATTTGAATATAACACGAATGTATTACACAAAGTATTAATATAAAAGTATTAATATAAAATTACTACACACTTAAATATTTAGAAGACACTTTATCAGGTAAGTACATCAGCGAACTTAGTTTCTCTGGTAGAAGAATATGCCCCTCACACAAATGAGTTCTGATTATTTGAGTAGTAATATAGATAAAAATAATAATGCAGAAATTTGAATATAACACGAATGTATTACACAAAGAAATACAATTTCGGAAGACATGTCGACACCTATAACGTTCTTTCCTTAAATTATAGTGGTGTCTACTGAAGTTTTGTATACCTACCCTGGCAACGAACATGTAAGATACAGCTACAACATGTAAGATACAGCTACAACATCAAAGGCATTTCCAAAATTATATTTTAGTAAATTTCAAATAGTTAGTTATTAATTTTTAAACTAATTACATGTAATATTATATAAAAAGAGTTTTGGGTCATTTTATTCTTAAAACATACTATTTTTGTATTCTGGATAAAGAAATGTCTAATTAATAATACAAAATTCACTAATTCCTATATAAAGGGTTCCTTAGTTATGTATTTCATGCTTGTATTCACTCTGACAGATAGTATATATTTCTTTAAGTTAGCTTGGTTTCGAAAAATATATTCAGTAATTCGTTTATTTCTTAATACTTCTTCTTACATTTAATCTAAAACGCTCACTTTTTATATAAACATTTGGCAATGGATGACTTAAGCTTTACGATGCATTTTTAAATAATAAAGTTCTGATTATTTAATAAAGGCAGAAACAGTTTCACATTACTTTTATGTGTTTATTACTTGTTCCACAATACCATTTCTTAACATTTTCTTAATTTGTTATAATAATAAAAATTGGGTATGCCCGTACACTTCATAATAACGGAATATCAAAACTAAAATTAATATCTTTACTGACTTCTCACAAACAGTTCCTTCATTACTAGAATTCAATAATGTGTTTTCTCTTAATTTTGATACTACATTAGGTACATCATGATTGACGTGTCATTATCTGTTACCTTCGTTATTTTAGATTCTTGAAAACTGCTGCCACAATGTTTTTGAAAGAATAAATTATAAGTGACACTAAACTCACTCACTACCTTCAATACCTATGAGGAATGTTTCTTATAAAACGTTTTTTTATTATCACCAGGAAACTAATAATAAATTGCAATCTAAAAACCTCAGATTACATTCTAATATTTAAAATGCTTTATTATTAAAATTTCAGATAGTTACTCTTATTTAAAAATTTAGTAACACTAAAAACAATGGACAAACATAAACGTCATAAACATTTTAAAAGCTTCTGTTTAAACTTGTGTGTTCATTTCAGTTTAAAGTCTAATTTAATTTTCAGTTAAACGAAAACTGTTACTCTACTAGCTTAAGAATAAGTCTGTCAGTAATTCTTGATTTGTAACAAAAAATCGCATATTTAATACGAGCTTTTAAAATAACTGTACTTAAATGGAAGGAAACATATTCTACTATATTATTCCATCCTTATTTAATTCACATGAAGTCTCTATCTTCTGTTTAAAAGTATTAATTATTCAAGTAACGCAGCTCATAATATGATAGCTTAGATAGCTTACATTCGTGAGCTTAGATAGCTCACGAAAACAGCTTACTTGCATCTATCTAATGGTTATATATTTTAATTTTATTTTGAGTAACGCCAAATCCGCTTAAAGACAAAAAAGCAACATCTTTTGTCTGTGTTTTAAGTACGTTATAGTAACTACCTAAAGAATGTTTCAATTATATTATTAATGTTGGAATTATATCAATGAAATGTTGGAAAATTATATTAATATCAGAAGAAAAATAACGAAATGCCGTACGTTATGTATAACATAATCATTTAGTTCGAAGCTTGCGAATAATAAGAAATTTACTCTAACCTGATTGTGACATTCAAATTTAACCCTTTAACTGTCAAATTATTTTGATGATTTAGGTACACAAATTGTCAAATTTTTTTTATTGCAAAAATCAAATGTTTAGTACAAAATAAGATATATTTAAGTAGTTAAAAATTGATATTTTGAAGTACATGGGTAAAATTTTTAAAGTTTTGTAGCCACTGCATATTTGCTTGAGGCGGCTGCCACTCAACATGGCAGTTGTAAAGTTCGCTTCTAGTGGAGCATTATTTTCTAAAAATGGAAAAAAGGGGGGATTATTTTCTAAAAATAAATAAATAAAAGTGAATACCTATTAGTAGTTCAGTAATTCAGTCTTGTGTGGTACAATTGGAAACACTTTTCCAAGCACCAAACCAACTCCACAATCACTACACCAGAATCGTGTTTCCTTCCTTATTTTTCCCCCATTTTTATCCTTTTTCGAACACCACACTTTGCACTGTCTCGTAGGCTCACGTTTCGCAGGAGTAGGAGGAATATGGATATAAAATGTCGTTCAGTAAGACGAGGCAGGGTTATCTATTGTAGGTGGCCTGCCAACATTCTTTTGTCCAGAAGCTGCATCATCATATTTATGTAAAAGCTCTTCTAACAACTTGGATTCGAAATTCTAAAAATGTAATACGTTTCTCAACTACATTTTTATAGAGAAAGTATAAGTTCCAGAGTACCTTGTCTAGTAAATGTAAAAATATCTTTTTATAATATTTTTTCTGACGTTTTCGGATTGTTGGATGAAAGGATATTTCCTGATCACAGCGATCTACCGTAGTTAGACTGTAGTCAGAAACAATCTTAGGTTTGAGTATATCTCCATTTTTTTTTTATTTTAGAGGCTGACCATGGATGTATCATGAATACTGCTCATCAAACACACATCCTTCATATTCGATTGAAGAATATAAATCATCTATATAACTTTTCAAAGAACTGGACGCCATATTACAACAAAAAGATCCCGTGAACTTTGAACCAAAGAACTTATAACCTCTAACCTTGAAAATCTTCAGTAAAGTGCTGTCATCTATTGAATTGAGCGCACATTAACTTTTCCCGAGATACAGTCGGGTTTGACAGAGAGCTGAAGCGGAAATAAACGTCTCCCGATATATATTCGGGTATAACAATACGATGCACTTAAAAAAATTACCCCGAGTAATACTCGGGCGTGACATTTTCGAACATCAGTGCTATGCCCGAGATTATCTCGGGCATGACAGTTAAAAGGTTAAACATGCTACATTATACTGAACTTATTTTCCATATCACAGAGAAGCATATTTAACTTCGCGAATAAAAATTGGGAATTCAATTATGTTAAACGAGCACTGAGATTTTTATGATATAGGAAGTATTTTAAGAGCGTATTTAAAAAATAAGGAAAATAAAAGTCATCGTTTGGCAGAATTATAAGAGAGTAAATCATGATATCACTCATGGACTTTCAAACAACGATTAGTATACAGGGAATGTAGGAAATACATGAAATTCAAAACGCTTTCAATTTAGCTTGGCGACATGTGGCTTTTAACCTTCACTGAAACAATTATAAATACCATTCTGAAATTTAAACATACCTTAACCTTTCCTTTTTCGCAAGGTTTGCTACAAACAGACTCTGGCAATCCATTGGTGATGTGCTGAGGATTCCAACGGAAAGGCTGGAAAATGTCTAATCGTCCACTGTCCCAAGAACCAACATGCTTGTAGTCATAAGAATTATTCTCATGAATGTACTGAAAGTTCATTATATCGTACCTATAAAGAAAAACAATTACTGATGAGTATTTCAGTAAATTTACGGAACATAACAAAATCTTTTGTGAAAACGCTGAGAACCATTTCTTGTTGCAATTGTTCGTTAAAATAATAAGCATAATTATTTGTTAAATATATACAATTTTTTAATGATTGTTATGTTTTTAGGTTTTAGAAATTACACTATTTGTAAATCATATTTTTCTAATTTATTTAAAATTACATATATAGAAGAACAGTTGCTAAGCTTATAAAGATTGCTCATGTTTCTTTTTACAACAGTAAAAAAATCTATAGTAGAATCGAATGCGTCAAAGAGCTTTCCAGTGTTGAAAATAGCAGCAGATGCAAGAATTGCGTTATAACTGAACATCAGTTTTACATAGATTTCATTGTTATGTTTCCATTTGATTTTATCTGAAGAAGAAGAACGCATTTCGAGAGGAAAACGAGCGACTGACTTATTTCGGGAAACGAAAACTATCACCTCTTTATAAATGAATTAAAATCTTAAACTTTGAGTCTATTTTTAACCTCTTGACATGTGAATAAAATCCCAATAGGATGGGCTTAAAAATACAAATTAATTTACTGTTACACTAATTTTTTGCTATCGGAAATTTTATTTAAATTTTTTAAAAGTAACAAAAATAAAAAAAGGAAATTTAATATGAAACTAATAAAAATTTCTATAGTTCTAAGACGCGTTAATATCTTTTCTGATATTATTAATAAATTAACTTACTCAGATCGCATTATATGTCACAGGAAATTTATTTTTTGATGAAAAAAAGTTTGACTTTTCTTTTTAGCTTTCTAACGGAATGATTGCATTAAACGACGAGATAAAAAATTCTCCTCTGATCAACGATTAAATTTAATTAATTAATATAAAATAACCAACAACGTATAAATAGGCGCTTTCACATCAAAAAAGCAAAAAGTGCTATTAAATGTTCCCAACGTTTTAATGTGAAATTTCCTTTATGAGCAGCTCGTAACTCAAACTGCTCGCAACTGATTCTGGAGATTTTTTGCTGATGCTGTAACCCTAATCTTAATACTTGCAGGGAATTCTTCATTTAAGGAGAACATGCCAATGTAAATTTGAAAATTAGGCAAAAAAGGGCAACCTTAGTAGATATTTTTATGAATTTTTATTTCAGTAATAAGAAAAAAGAGCAAAATTGCTCTTTTTACTGGCAGGAATTACTGGCTTTTTACTGGCAGGAAATTTGTTTTGTTTCAAACGAAAAAGGACCTGTGCCCGACTATCTTCAAAATATACGGCAAAGTAAGTTTTTTAGCCCAAAGGAGCGTTAGCCCAGAAGAGATGTTAGGCTCGAAAGTGCATATTGCGTCGGTTAACATTAAACGGCGCAGCACTTCTTAAATTTTTGCCACCAAATATTATCGCCCCATATTATATTTAAAGAAATTAAAATAATGAAGATTATGCATGTTTGCATGTATGATTTTCGAATTGTGAAAAAAACCACGGTACTTAAAGCTATCAAATTTTGATTTATATAATCGCCAATCTGAATTTGGGCAACTGGAAGCCCGAATGCTGAATTTGTTTTATTATCCATTTGACATTTTGTAAAACGTGAAGGAATTTTTGACTAACAAAATCAACGATTTCAAAGCGAGCAATGGAAAAACCGTATAGGAAAAAAAAAAAAAAAAAAAAAAAAAAAAAAAAAAAAAAAAAATTATCTCCAACTCGTGAGACTGTCTATTGGAAACTCTAAATATATGCTGTTTTCAAATATATTCTGATATTGCTGTTGAATTGAATTTTATCTGGTTTAAGTGCGAAGAACGTGATATTTAATAAGTAAAGGTGGCACATAAAACGTTAAAAAACACTACTTTGGGCGTAATTATACATTTATATATATATATGTAATGATTTCAAAATACGTAGATTAAAGCAGTGGACCTCCCAACAGCTTACGATACTGCGTAGATGACCGAGAAGACCGTATTGGCTTGATTGGGCATTCAGATGACTAGTTACCTTTTTCATTTTTTCCATTCGTTAAACGATGTGAGATTAGTTGAAATAAACTGCACTGAAGTTCCACGCCTGTAGGGTCGAAAATTGGCTGCGCCATATTATTGTCATGAAACTGTGGTTTGAAGGTGGCAGAGTGGAAAGCATGATGACGCAATTTAGCACAACATTAGCAGTGGACCTCCCAACAGCCTACGATACTGCGTAGATGACCGAGAAGACCGTAGTGGCTTGATTGGGCATTCAGATGACTAGTTACCATTTTCATTTTTTCCATTCGTTAAACGATGTGAGATTAGTTGAAGTAAACTGCAATGAAGTTCCACGCCTGTAGGGTCGAAAATTGGCTGCGCCATATTATTGTCATGAAACTGTGGTTTGAAGGTGGCAGAGTGGAAAGCATGATGACGCAATTTAGCACAACATATCTTGAAAAATCACAATCTTTATTTTTCCCTGCATATCAAATAATCCTTTTTCAGATAAGCTACTTCTTAATAATATTTGAATAGAATAACTCCCATTTTGAATTACGACGTCATCTTAAGCAAGTAAGCGGCAGCATGGATGAAGGAGCGTCTTCCCAGCAGGAAAGCTATGCGGTAAAAAGGGCAAGGTTATAGTACTTTCATAGCAAGAAGGCTGAAGTTTCAGTTCACAGATTTGGTTTAGAATTAATTTGATTGGACGAGAGGCATCTGCATTAAAACGTTACATAAGATAAAAAAGTCTGGAACCTGTGAGAAGAGATGAATTTAGGGGCAGATTACCAAATTTAGAATGTTAATTTTGAGGTCGTCAATTATTTTTTTGAAACAGCTATCATATTTTGCTATATCTTACATATATATATATATATATGTATATATATTTGCTCAATTTTCAGCGATTGATTAAATTCTAAAGCAAGTTTTTGGTGACTTTTTCCTTTACTTGGTTAACCACGTGAAACTTTTTATAATCTCTTTCGATTTTATTTGGCTACTTTAATATAAAAAATGTACAAAAATGTAAGTCTATACGCACAGTATTTCCGAAGTTTTCGCATACTGACTGGCAGGACTTCAGCAGTTCGATAACAGTTTACAAACGATAAGTTTAACCGGGATCATATTAAATGGCGTCTACGACATCACGTTATTAATAAACATGCAAAAGGGACATGTTATTAATAAACATGCATAGGGAACTGCTTACAAAGATGTTGTGACATCAATCTCAAAGCCCCTTGAGTTCCTTTAAATACACACATTTTCAGTTTTTATCCTACCGACTTGGGTCTCTAAGACTTCGGAGGTACGACTACTTAACACTGGTTAATTATGTTGCGTTCGGTATTAGAAAACTGTACTGATTAGAAGAAAGGGGTTTACGAGGATTTGTCCTGTAGTTACAAGAATCACAACTGTTTCTGTTAGATATTCTTCCAAAAAATAATTCTTCTCTCAATATATTAGATGTTTTGCTAAGAAAGAATTCTTTTGTCACATATATTCCACAAGCACTTTGCCATATTAGTTATCTCTGTAAATTCCTCATCTGAAGTTTGAGTTACAGTAGGAGTTCACCTATGTACTTTGTAACATGTATTTTAATTTGAGAGGGGGGAGTTTTTAATGAAAATAGAAACTTATGTTTATATCACAACTATTTAAACTGTTTTATATATGGATTAATCTCTGGCTATCATATGTCTGTAACCTACCGAAGAATTATTGTTTTATTTAATAGGTTAGGTTTTCAGTTTCTCATTACGAGCAATTTAATAACAAAGACCCTATCTGCATCTGGAGTAGCATATGTATTGTTTATTCAAAAGGATAGAGGACAAATATGTTTTTCTCACATTAGATTCACGAATACAAGTTATTCAATTTTTAACTGATTTTGAATTAACTGGATATGTGTTCATTGGGCATGCAGATTTTAAAGATTATTTAAAACAATATGAATTTTTTAATGCGTTGTAGAGTTACGCAGCTAAGATGTCAGTCATATCTTCTTTCATTGCCACAAATTTTTCTGGACGATTAACAGACAAAAACAATAATTTTCTCTTTTCAAAATTTCATTCACAGTTCATACGTTTAATTTATTAATTTTTATATTTTACTGTTTAAAATGTTAAGATTATTTTCGCAGTGCTATTAAGCTTTATTTATTTATATATATGTTTGCTATCAGCTACTTGAGTAAGACTTCTGGTAAATTTTATTCACAAACGAGAAAGATGAATTATTCTGACGTAATCAGATAATTATTAGTTTTTTGAGAAAACCGGGAATTAATTTTGCACAAGAATATTCTATTTTCGAAATCTGAAGGTAAAAATGTATACATATTAAATCCCGTTATCATTTCGTCAGTCGTTAAAAACGGGAGTATTATTGATCACAAAATTCCTCATCGCAAATATTACGGTTCTGTCCAAATTCCACCCTTATCCGGATCCAATACTGGCTGTCACCAAATCACTTTACCGTGCCATGACAGATATAGAGCATACTCTTCGTCTGCAAAGATTCTAGGAAGGTCAATCGCCGTCTACTGAAGTGTTCTCTTGAGACTGACAGGCGGCACTCGATCCCCTGCTCAATGTTCGCATTAATTGGGAAACCTTCTGCCAAACATGCTCTTCTTAATAATATTGACGTGGAGGTAGCTGACGTGGAGTCATTTTTCTATCATATCATATTGATTAGAATGAGGATTGCCACATGCCAGAAGAAGAATGCTTTTGGGAACATACTTTATTTCGATGATGCTTTTGCTTTCAACGGTAATACAAATTGTTAGATTTCAGATGCTATTAGCTAAACTATAAGCGACTTACGCAATACTTATCTTCAGATAAAATGAAAAGGATGCTGAATGATGTAATAATCTTTACACTGTTGTTTTGGGATGAAACAATGTTAATTATCAGGACCTAATGTTTTTTTATTTAATTGCTTATCCATATATATATATATATATATAT